CAAAGAAATGCAGCTATTATGGCCCTATATGTAGTTTAAACACATTTCTTTTTTTTTTTCCATGCAAGCCAGACATGTTTTTTCTAAATAAAATTCAATAATTACATTTCAGTTGCCTTTCTTCCTTCTCAATTCCAGTGTCTTTACCTTTGCATTGAGGCTAAAATTAACCAAGGAGAAGCTGTCTGCAGAATTGCTGCCAACCCCCTGCGATAACTGCAAGGGTTGACAGACTGCACATAAAACAGCCACTAGCAGGAGGTGGATTATAAAGCACAGCCAATGTTCAGATCCAGGTATGACAGCATTCTCGCTGGCAGAGGGAATAGTGTGGCCAAGATAGCCAGAAAAAGGGTGGAGATAATAACCACTAAGTATATTAGACATGCCACTGTGTGAACAATTATTAGGCAAGTTATAGTTTTGACCATATCGTCATTTTTTATGCATATTTTCCAAATCCAAGCAGTATAAACTTGATTGCTTATTGAATATAACAAAAGAATGTATAACTTTATTACAGATAAACCAATTAAAAATACAAATCTCATATACCGGTACACATTTCAAAATTAATGTCATAGATAATTGTTATATGTATAATTTAGTACTTCTGACTGTCTTAAAAGAGGTATGAAGTCACGAAACTTACTTAATCAAACTTATTCCACTTCTTTTAGTCCATAACACCAACAATAGTACCGTCTCTTATTTAACTAAAAAGGCCTGTACTGTTCCAAAAGTTGATAAAGTTAGCAAATAAATCAATTTATGTACATGTACATGTGCCTAAAAAAAAGGTGATCAACAAGGTTAGGGTGTGTTTAATTATTAAGGAAGCTTCTTTTCCTCTGGCAAAATAGGCCATAAAAGAGATTTAATTGACTCTGAAAAGTCCAAAATTGAAAAAAGATTTTTAGAGGAATGCAGCAAGAAACATGTTGAGAAAAAAAGGTGCAAAAAAAAATTGCCAAAAATTTGGGAATAGTAAAAGGTGAAGCTACCAAGAACCCATTATCCCCCAGCGCTTTGACTTTACAGGAACTGCAACCTACCTGGAAAACCCAGAGGTACAAGATGTTTGGTTCCCAGAGACATGAGGGAGGTAAGGAAACCTGACCACTACTGAACGAGACGGGTTGAAATATCAAGACTGGGCCAATAAATATCTGAAGACATATATTTTTTTAAATATTATGGACTGATCAGAGGAGTAACTTTTGTCGGACCAGATGGATGGGGGCGTGGCTGGTTCAGTAATTGGTACAGCGTTTCACTCAGACGTCAGCAAGGCGGAGGCTGGGTACTTGTTTGGGCTGATAATATTAAAGTTGAGCTAGTTGGACCTTTTTACATTGAAGATAGACTTCCAATTTAACTCCCAAGTCTACTGCCTATTTTTAGAAGATGGCAGTAGACCTGACATTGTTGGGCCTGGTCAGCCAGGCCAAAAATGCCCCTAACGACTCCTTCTTTTCAGAGGCATAGACCAGAATCGGGTATTGCAGGCAAACCTTAGCGACTCCCCATTACTAAGGGGCTGTTCTTCCGGTTTAATCTGCGTGTTTTCTAAGCCAAACCAAGGCTTTGTTGGGCTACCTTTTAAAGCTTTGAACTCAACGCTAATCCTGACATTTTGAACTGAAAAAGCTTCCTTGATGGGAAAAGAAACGTCTTCAAACTTGGAAAACAAAATCCAGTGGTTTGTTTTTTTTACTTTTTTGGAAGTTTTTGGAAGACACTTCCTTCAAACATTGGTACAGGAAAATGTCTACATTTTTCAAGAAGACTATGAAATATTATACAGGAGAATGCTCCATCGCATGCATGGAAGTACTTCACTGTGTGGCGATCCTTAAAGATAAGAGAATAAGTACTTGGCCTCCATACTCACCTGAATTAAACCCTATTGAGAACTTGCGGACACCTCTTAAATGGGAGACTTACGGTGAAGGAAAACAGCCAATCTCTATCAATAGTGTGGGAGGCTGTAGTCACTGTCGCACAAAAATTTGAAGGACAACACATCAAAAAACTGACGGACTCTATGGACAGGCTGCTAACCCTTATTGAAAAAAAGGGTGGCTTTATCAGTCACTGATTGTTTTTTTCACTTTATCTTCTTTTTATTTAATCTCAGAAATGTTCATCTGTAAATTTTGAGTTGATGTTCTTAATTCTCACTTAAACTGATAAAAATAACTAAGTGGGATGTGAAGCACTGGGGTCCGTTTGGTTTGGTTCGCAATGAGAGTTTCCTAAACCTCTGTTTTAGTCACCATAGTAACAGTCTCCCCAGAGCTAACCTGGTAGTAGGTTTTCTTCTGTAATTTAGGAGTTTCCTCTGACTTCGCTCTCCTTACAGCAAATCATGCTGTTTTATTTCCTAATTTAGTCCAATTTTTGTCGTAGTGTTGTGCATATATATATACTTTTTTATATATATATATATATATATATACCGATGCACTGTGGACTACTTTTATGCAGGCAAAAGAAAACATGTTCCAGGTAAACTCCTTTAGTTTTCTCAGTTTATTTTCTCCTCAGGCAAGCAAACAAGAAAAGACAAACATTTCCTCCATGTTTCTCTTACGCTGGTAAAAAAAAAAAATGGACTGTCTATTTTTAAAAATAATTCACCAAAATTAATCCTAACTAACCAAAAACAAAGGAACTACAAAGGACTAAATAACCAAAAAATGTCATAACAGATGTCAAACAATAATGTAGCTGTAGCGCTGTTTCT